TATCAAACAGTTACAAATTCATTTTTTTAACACATTGTTTCACTTTGCCAATGTGACACTCTACAATAAAAACTATTTCTCTTTGCCCAAATACATGCAGAACAGGCCTTAAGTAGTCAAACTATTGGATCCTGTGTGAGTGTTTGGTAGAAAACGTTGGTCAAATATTAACCAAACTTCAGCTCATCCAGGCAGAACATATGGGGATTAGTTTTACTGAACACAGGGCCACAGGACGTGACTACACTATGGGTCACAGACTTCAAACACAGTCAGCAAAAACAAAAGAAAGATACATTTTCTGTGGTCTGTAAGTCATACAAATTGTGCAGAGGTTTTGGTTTGTGCGCAGCAAAGATGTTTTTTCTTGTAGTCTACCTCGAAAATGTTGTTGAAGCATCACTTTGGGATTAGGAGTCACTTTTTTCTAAATCTGTAAAATCTTAGCCTCTTGATAGACAGTACCGACTGTAACAGGAACGTGGGGACACACTTTTACCTGCCCTTCGGTGCAGATGGATGCCCTTACACACATTACAGCTCTGCTTACACACCTATCAGATTCAGCACAAGTTTGGCTTCTGCTGACTGAGCTGAAGGAAATCCACATAAGCTAAAATCAATACTACATTTCGGGAGACAACCAGAAAAAAAAGAACAACAAACAAAACACCTAGGTTTTTCCGCATCTTCTTCTCCAGTTTCTGATCCTTGCGGGCATCCAAATCTTTGACAACAGTGACCTCCTCTGTGTCCTCCTGCTCAGGGTTAGTCTCCGCTGCCTGATAGGTGTTGATGATCTTTTCCAGCTGCTGGCCCAGGTCTTCTGTCAGGTCAATGTGCTGACCGTCGGCTAGTGACGCTTCTGGACCAGCGGTTGAAGGAATGCTCTCCATTCTCCTAAGCTAGTACTGAGAGGGAGAGGGAAAAGTTTGTGAAAGACATTTGTGGGTAGATAAAGTCTGGTATGTTTAGGTTTGACTGAACAAAATAACTTTGAGAGTAGTACATTTAAAACAAGGCATTTCACTGGATCATTTCTGGTTTAGTTATTTTTGTCCAAAGTCCTGATTCATTGTCCACCTTGTTCTAACCAAAATATTAGACAGCATTTATAAATCTTAACAGAAGGTGTCTGCATTGGTGGTTGTTTCAGTGACATCATGTGTTTTGTTAGGCTCCGTTTCTGCCTGATTCTGCTTGATTCAAGTTCTTTTATTTGTTCTGCGAAAAGTCCAGTTAGTTACTGCAGCTGTCGGCTCACAGCCCTTCACAGAGTGTGCTTTGGACCGCTGTTCAGCTGGCCGGGTATAACATGGAATTCGTAGCCGTTCTACCGTCTATTTTATGGGACATTAAAAACCCCAATTATGTTGATTTCAGGGGTAATTTCACATATTTCAAGGGCATTTTACTCAGAGCATCCACTCATTCCCTAGTTTGCTCCAAACATAATGACTAGCATGTGTTGGCTTTCTTAGGCTTGGATATTTAGGTTTTATCACAGTTGTGTGTAATCGCTGCTGCAGTGCTGGGGTCAGATGAGTTGCCATTATTTAATTCTGATACAGATCAACACTTGTGGTTCATGTGTGTCCCCCAACTGACCATCGGCAACGAGTGGAAATGAAAGCTGTCACAGTAAATTTGGAGTTGACAACCTAATGTAGCAGCCAGCAAATACGTCCACGTTCAGCACGTCCAGCATGTCTCCTCTGAAAACCAGGACTTTTGTCTACCACTGTCTTGTGCCGTTGCTTTAATCCAACACTGGACAAGTTGAAAAGACATCAGATCAAAAATTAGACCTGTACGTCCAAAACAAATTAATATGCATCAATTTATTGAAGAACTCTGGTTTTAGTCCCTGGACTTTGGTTGTGTAAACATGCCTCTGTTCTTTAACTTTGTTAAAACCTAACAAAGTTTTTGCTGTTACAAGCTGATACTAGGGCCTGTCCTTATGTCAGTGAGTGTCAGTACAATAGAGTCAAGGTAAGGACACTGGAACTAATGTCGTGACATGGTCACTAACAGGGGTGTTGCGACCCTGTGTCTGTATTTTCTTATTTTTCTCTCATTTTTCTGAGAGACAGAGCTCAAGGTGACAGTGTTCACAGACCAAAAGAAGCAAAGCTGCTGTCCAAACCCAGGAAGATAGCCTCACCCAATAGTCTGACCAAGATCCTGACACATACAGTAGAAGTTAATGTCCTCCGGGGAAAAAAATTCTGTCATCCAACACCATTTAAAAATCATTTAGTGCTAAAATCTGCACGACAGGATTTCAAATCAACACTTTTTGTTTGAGGATGGAATTAACTTAACTGTCCTGTGAGGTTTACAGTTCTACAAAACACGGGAGAAAGTGCTGTAATTAGCTAGCCAACGCAATCATTACCGTAGTGCAAAGTAAACTTCACACAGCCAAAGGTTTACTTCCTCTTTTCCTGAAATGAAATTGAGGAGCTGCCTTAAAAATGTAATCATGTCTTATAGTGGGCCAGGAGGAAGGCCAGGTGGCTCGTAAGTCACAACAACAAGGCTTTAAACAGAGCTTTAAAATCTGCCGTTCACTCGGTCATAACCTCACATGCTGCAGATGAACATTTACAGCGTTGCTCTTGGATGTAGCAAAGGAAATGGAAGTCAAAAACTGAAGTGAGAACAAACGTAAGAAAATGATTTTAGAAAAAACTGAAGTGAGAACAAACACAAGAAAATGATTTTAGCTTCATGTGTAGCTGTAAATCGCTGGCAGTCAAAGCCTGTTTACGTGCATAAAATGAGTCTTCACGCTGCCTGTGCTTTTACAAGCAGAGCACATGGCACCTGTTCCAGGCCCCAGCAGCTATTTTAGGAACTTCTTAATATGGGCAAGTTATTTAATAATTTCTAATCCAATCTTATTGATGTGGTTGTCAGACGTTGAGCAGACAAAAGCTGCAACTATAAAAGAAATAAAATCATCATCCATGTGTTGTTGCGGCTTCATCTGCTGGATTACAAGAGAGATCGGAAACCCATTCAACTAAAAATAACTGTAGTCAGAAGTGTAGCTGGTGTAATCCAGTTTCAATTGTCGTTTTTAACATTTAGTTTCTTTTTTTAGTTAACGTTTAGCTTTTTTTAGTTAAATAAAACAGACATTGAAGAATCTTAATTTTTCTGCCTCTCTTTGAATTCAACAAACTTTATGAAACGTCCAAAATTATTCCACACAAAACAGATTTAAAATAATCATTTCTATAATATTTTTTAGAATAAATTTTGTCTTAAAAAAAAAGCAAGGACAGAGAAAGAAGAGCACAGTTCTTACCAGGACCAAGGATCAGTTTGGGGGTAAAAGGAAAGAGCGTTGAGGTGTTCGACCAGGCTGCAGCCACCAGCACCACCACAGATACAACAGCTGTGATACGACCTCCTCAAAATAAACCAGAGGAGCGCACACTCTGACCACAGAGAGGGAGGACAGAGACATGGAGTGTCCAGGACACATTTCTTAAGAGAAAAACAACTCATGTGATTGTTATCTTAGCAGGAAGGCAGACACAAACCACCTGGGGGGAGTGTGTGAAAACACAACCGGAATCCATCATCGTCTTTAAGCTCTTTAACATCAAGATCTTTAACAGACATTACAGTTGAGGCCTCGCTGCTTCAGACCAAGGCAGAATTGATTTTTATCAAAAGACGGCTGCTGTTAAAAAGCCATGTAATTATTCTAACAAATGGGTCTGACAGGCGTCGTCACTGAGCAGGAGAGAAGAAGAAAAAAGGAGTCGATCATGTCTCTGATTGGCCCAAATTAGATTAGACCTCCTCCTTTTCACCGAGACTGGACGACATAATGTAGAACGAGTCATTTCATCTCTTGCCGCAGCAAAATTTAGCTCAGAGTGATGGTGCTGTGTGGGTGCTTTGATTCAGAGTGAAATTTTAAATTGAGTGAAAGTGCTTGAGTTGTGAATGTTAAGTTTGAAGGATTATTGAATATGAACTATTTCTCACATAATTCATTGTGGAAGATTGAGGTATTTTATACCAAAGACAGTTCACAAAGCTTAGCCTGAATATGCTAAATTTCACCCACAATTTAGCATTGTTACTAAGTTATTGGTTACTTTTTAAACATGATCTTGACAGTAACAGTTATTAAGTTACTGGTTACTTTTTAAACATGATCTTGACAGATTATTTTGAATTTGACCAGGAGTCTGTGTGTGCCTTGTTAAAAGCGAGGTAGAAAAGCAGAACCTCAAGATGGTTGAGTCTTAGCTGCAAGGTGAGAACTATTTTTGGAAGCCTTCATTTATTTTTCTCATGACTGCAGTAATAATTTGTCACCAGAGGATGTCACCATTATGAGCCCATCCCCCCACGCTCTTTCTCTCTCCCTCACACACACACACACAGACACACACACACACAGTAGAGATAAATTACAAGCAAAGTAAAATCTTTTCTTGTGTTTGTAGAATCGCAATTTGTGCAGGACAGAAAACAGCAAAACTGAACAAAACTAATGGAATAATTTGCGACACACACACACACACACACACACTGTCATGTTTGAAGTAGATCCTTTTGAAACAACATTTTGAGTTTAATCTGAAAAAGTAGAGCACCAAACAATAAATTCCTCATAGCAATAAAAGAGGCACTCCGTCCTGACTAAACCAATTCTGATGCAAGTAGCTGAACATGGATTGGCTACTGAGGATTTTTTTTTTCCCCCTCAAAAACAACAGAAACATTTTAGTTGAGAGGTAAAACCATTTGTCCTCTGTGTGTTTTACAGGGAATTATGTAGACATGAGAGGCACAATGCAGTTCAGTCAACATGAGTTCATCATAATACCAGTAATAATAATACAAAACTAAACAGAACGACAAACACGGTTCCTCTTACATTTGTATGCAAAAAGCAAAGAAAAGGCTTCGC